AGCGCTCGGGAACCGAAACCCGTTACAGGAGTGCTCGGGAACCGAAACCCGTTACAGGAGTGCTCGGGAACCGAAACCCGTTACAGGAGTGCTCGGGAACCGAAACCCGTTACAGGAGCGCTCGGGAACTGAAACCCGTTACAGGAGCACTAGGTAGCACTAGGGCCAGAAGGGGGTGCTTTAGCATCACATCACAGGCCAGACCAGCACAGGTCAAGCCGTTCTGCTCTCGCTCTCCTCCTCTGTCTCCGATTGCTAGATGGCCAGTAATCCCCCAGCACCCTCTGTGCTGCTGACTCAGAGCGGGCATACGGCTGAAGGTCACTGCACAGTGAGCCGCTCCTGTCTCCGCTGCTCTGCTTAGCAAGTGCGTCAATCGTCCCACGTGCTTACTCCATGCGCACATGGGGAGAACACGCAAACTCCATGCACACATAGGGAGAACACGCAAACTCCATGCACACATAGGGAGAACACGCAAAATCCATNGGGAGAACACGCAAACTCCATGCACACATAGGGAGAACACGCAAAATCCATGCGCACATGGGGACAACACGCAAACTCCATGTGCACATGGGGAGAACACGCAAACTCCATGGGCACATGGGGAGAACACGCAAACTCCATGGGCACATGGGGAGAACACTCAAACTCCATGGGCACATGGGGAGAACATGCAAACTCCATGGGCACATGGGGAGAACACGCAAACTCCATGCGCACATGGGGAGACCATGCAAACTCCATGCGCACATGGGGATAGACTACTGAGAAAGGACTCCAGAATGATCGATAATATCAAAGTCTGCATAAATTTCACAAGAACTACAGTGTAACAACAAAGAGTCCCTCACTGAGCACTTAATGTGACAGAACTTCCCAGATGTTCCTCAGTGGACACCAAGCTGTCATTAGCAGTATTCGGCTAATATTGGAATTATTTGCATTCTAGTCTAAAACTGCCGTTAGAAAGACCCAAACAGTAATTATTTTAAGAGCTAATATTTAATGTTTTTGTGGAAATGAACCATCATGAGCATTTAGGCGTGACACTGCACCTGCGCTGGGATGACAGTGGGATCTGCTTTGATGGGGAGTCAGTACCTTGCAGACCCCCCCACCTGGAGTATGAGAGGTAAGGGCTAGGTGCTCACCTTGCCCGAAAGATCCCGTGGTGGGTGGAGATGTTTCAGCTCAGCACGTGACCAGTGGCCGGCAGCCTGAACGTTTTAAACAGGGCGCCCTCCTCGAATCCCCATTGAGGTTTGGCGTCAGAATAACGCTCCAGATCCCATCAACTGGACCCTTTATTCTGATTTTGTCACCACCGTAGCTAATGACAGAGATGAGAGACAGTAACCAGAGCAACTTGAAACCGGTGGGTTATTGTGTCTGCAAAAATGAAAAACTAAAGAACAGGAACACTTACAGCAGGGGTGGCCAGTCTTACCCGCAAAGGGCCGGTGTGTGTGCAGGTCTTTGGGGTTACCTGCAGGTCAGCTGTTCAAACCCAGGTGTGAGGACTCTTCAGCCAATCAGTCCTCTGATTCGTGACCTAATTAGGGAGTTGCAGTGAAAACCCGCATACACAGTGGCCCTTTGCGGATAAGATTGCCCCCCCCTGACTTAGAGGATTCTCTCACACCACTGCTGCCATAAATGCTACTTTTTAAATGTCCATTTGGTGTGGGGGAGGGGGGGCATGGTCTTCAGCTCCAAGGTGATGGGGTTGTGCACTGTTTAGTTCCACTAGTTACTTGTTCCAGGCAACATGCATCAAATGGTGTTTACTTGGTCCACAGTAACCTAGACTGATGTCAGAATCCTTTTATTTACCATGAACAAAAAGTAAAAGGACGAGAGTAAGAAAATGTGCTGTATCACCCTGCGTCCCATATTCTGATGACATTTATATGCCAAGAAAAATTTTTGCTTCCTCAAATCAGCACATATTTCTGTAATTACTGTGCTGGTGATGCCCCAGCAGACTATCTCTATAACCTCAACCTTCCAAAGTCACTTTCCATTCAAGGCAGCAGGTCACATGGTTCGCCTTCCCAAAAGGTGGCTTGTTTATTCCGGCTGGTGATAGAAAATATATTACAAATGTACTAAACCCCTAATATGCAGATCAGCCATTCTGAGCTAAAGAGCCACCTGGTGGCACTTCAGGGAATGAAACCTCCGTTTATTTACACAGTAACATTTAACTAAACAGTGATTAAACCCACACAAACACAAAAGTGTACACTGGATTGTGGATACATTTTATTAAAACCCCAACACTCAGTTTTATTGACTCATTGGGTATAAACGTAAATACAGGACTGGTCTGACCGCATATGTGCGCATTTTACCTCCACGGACGTTTCGCCCGTAGGGTGAGGCGGCGGCGATGCGCGCTGCTCAGCAAGGGCGACCGATTTTCAGCCCTGACTCTGCCTATAGGTTTTAGACAGTTCGGTTAGGTCACATAATTAATAGTGAATACATCTAAAAATAATAAATAAAAATCCACACTGGCTTCCACAAAGTTCTCTCCCCACAGCATCTCCAATACATATGTATACATGCACAGCACAGGCTCCCATACACACTGATGCACGTAGACAGAAAGGTCACTATGGTTTCTTCATAAGCTTGACTTCCATCTTCAGAAAGGTCTTCAGGTTCTCGTCCTGGACGTTCTCCTCGATGGCGGCCAGCGCCTTCTCCCCCCCGTCGCGGTAGTAGGCCAGCAGCTGCTCGGCGTGGCCAATCCACACGCAGTTATGGCAGCCGCTCATGCAGCAATGCGTGGGGGCCACAGGCGGCGGGCCCTGGCCCCCGGGGTGGGAGCTATTCACCAGAGGCCCTGGGCTTGGGTCGGGCTGGGGATCCGGGCTGGTGAGGAGTTCTTTGGGAGGATCTCTGTGTGACAAGCGGCATGAAGGAATCTGGCTCAGGAGCGGCAGGTGGGGAAAGGCCTCCTGTAATTTAGATTAGAAAATAATAGGTACATGCTCATTTATGCCTGGCAAAGCTACTGTGATCATAAGGTTGTCGGTTTGAGCCCCGGCCTCGGCACATCTGCTGGTCCTGTTCTTATCACTTCTTTACACAGCGTGTAGTTAGAGTATGGAATAGTCTTCCTGTTAGTGTAGCTAAAGCCCTGGGTTCCTTTAAATCAGAGCTAGATAAAATTTTAACAACTCGGAGCTATTAGTTAAGTTCTCCCCAAATGACCTTGATGGGCTAAATGGCCTCCTCTCGTTTGTACATTTCTTATGTTCTTAAGCCCCTTAACCCCCAGCTCCCTGGGTGCTGCTATGGGCAGCCACCCTTCACTGGCAGCTTGCTCTCATCAACAGAGCAAACTGGGGGAGGTGTAAAGAAAATACCCCACGGGGATCAATAAAGTATGAATTATTTATTTTGTTTGTTTGAGCACATGTGTCGTAGCAAATGTTTCAATCTAACTACTATAGACAGAGGGAAACAGACATACGATTGCAATACTTGCTTCTTGATTTAATCCATATTGCAACATAAAGCCGTCCACTCGGTGTCAGGCAGAAATGGGTTAATCGGAACGAGGAATATCTTAAGTACATGCATAAACAGACCAATTAGTAACCCAGCCAGTAGAGGAGCCGGGGGTCAGATGTAACAGCCGGTGTTTCACGCATGCGGCTAAGCTAACTAGCTAAACACCCTGAGTGCTAGCTAACGGCGAGCTCCAGCAGTTTTTCCGCTACCTTTGTCAGACACGACGGTGCTGCCAGATGCCTCACAATTGCCGGAAACATCCTAATAAAAGGCACTCAAACTTCACGTACATGTTTAGAGTTTTATTTGTAACCCCTACGTCAGTTACACAGCTCCAAAACACCCACCGTGTCACGCGAGCACAATCGCTCAGGTGATTGGCTGGCGCACCAGCATCGCAGCGGCCAATGGGAGTAACTGACGTACGGCGGTTCGGCGAATGGAAACTTGCCCTTTTCTTTCTGAATTTATTTGATAGACCTAAACCAATACAAAGGGAAAAAGTAAATCAACTTAGGGAGTTTTCAGGCATTAATTGCATTAAATGGAATCCTTTTACACGCGAAAATTGTAAGAGCGTACCTATATTGTAAAAGTAATAGATAAGACAACGGCATGGGCCATATAAACACATAAAAATTAGTGCCCATCATATATGGCTGCAATGTTGCATTACGCATACCCCACACAAGTCTTTAAAGACAGTAAATATGTAAGGCTGTATAACAAATGGTATCTTTAAATGAGTATATTCGTTAGACCGTTGTGGATTTTTCAATGTATTACTGTATCACGAGCCATGGAAAACGTAAACCGGCAAGAATTAGCGGAGGGGAAACGCTAAACTTTGGGAATCCAGAATGGCAGGAAATAGTCAAAAATATTTTTATTGTCATCTTCAGCTGTATGATGCATGCATCATACACTGAGATGATATTTCTATCCAACTCGCCATTCTGCGACGAAACAATTAGAAATAGTGATATTACATGAATGTGATATTACATAATTATTGTGTAATTTTAATCATAGCCGTTCAAAACAGCGCCTGATAAATGTAAGCGGAAATGATACTTATGTTAGGAAGGAAAGGAATGCTTCGTTTGACACCACAATGGGAGGAAGTCATAGGCGGTTTGCAGGATGTGAGTCTCTTTTACCAGGCTGCAGGGAGCCTCCTAGGACTTCAGGACCATGCGTTAGCTAAACTATGCAAGAACATAGCCACATCTGCGATGGTGATTAGGCACAGGTGCATAGGCTCATTCGGTGAACATTGTGAACTTGCTGTCATTCACCATGTTCCATCAATTAAGGATCCACTGGCTCAGCTGAGTACTGAATCCTAGGGGGAACATCTCTGATCGGCCTGGACGATGAAGTATCTCGGTCTGTCTGACCCAATAGAAGGCCCCGTGACCCCCCTCCTCCAATCCACCATGAAGTTATGGATCCACCCATTTCATCAAAGTTTATGTAGTGTGATATATCATCCCATAACACCATTAACGATCGACCGGTATCTAAAAACAACATACAGCGCATGATTAAAAAATTCACTATACGGTTTTATCCAGTTTTCTATTTACCCAGGCATTCAGTCAGGAGGATTTCCTGCATTTCCAATGTTTAGTATTTGCTACCCAGATTTTAACCGACTTAGCATTTTTTAGCAGTTATGTAGTCATAAAACATAGCAAAAATACAGAATTGTATAACAGCGCCTACATTTTTGTTCTGAACTTGGAGACAATTAGTAGGGGCGTCTCAACATTATCCTGGCCCCACCATATACCGCGTGGAGCAGTGAGCATGTGACCGGCCCGCCTGCAATCGTTACGTGAGCAGCTCAGAACACTGGGAGTGATTTTAATTATGGGCGCTGGGGCACGATCACTGTGTCCGCATGCCGAGAACAGCCAATAAAAAAACAGAATGACATTGCCCATTGTTAGTCATCACAGTTGTGTTGGCCTCTACTAATAGCAAGACCATAATGACTTAAGTCGACAATTTCATAGAAGTTAAATTTAGTTACATTGTCATTAAAGTAAAGATTAGAGATTAAACATTTGGGACCACTGTTTGGAGCGCTCTGTGTGTATAGTTTAATTGACGAGCTGGTTGCAGCCCATGCAGTGCTTATTGGGCCCCACCAGGTTTTTCGTGCCAGAGACGCCGCTGGAGACAATAACGGGCGTGCTTCAGGTTTGTCAAGGACAAGATTCATTTATTTATTTTGCTTTCAACTCCACTAGATGGCAGCATTTCGTATACATGTGATAGGTAAGTATATGACCATGTAATATACTATATATAAAAAAGACTCCCAGAAAAAAAGGTTTAATGTATTAAAATATAATATATAAAGGTTAAAAATCAAATTAGGGTTATTTTCACTTTACAGATACATTAATCTGAATGAGGTTTTTTGAGGGGTGGGAAATATTCTGTGATGTTTTTTTTTTACGGTAATATGAGAGTAAGGGAACCTATTATGGAATAAATTAGTAAGTCTGTCAAAAACCGCTGTGGAATAAAACATGACTAAACCATTTCCCAAGTATTTATAGGTAGTCATTGTTTACATTACAGCCAAGATTAATGTTAAGCCCAGGTGCCTCTGGTCATGTCACTGCACGCACGGCCCGGATAACCGGTTGCTAGGTTTGACGCCATCCAGCTCAATGCAGGCAGATTCCCCTCCGGTACACAGTCTCCCCGTCAATCAGTCATCCGCATTGAACTCTACGCGAGTGCTTTGCTTTATGGAAGCTGCTCTAGGAGCTCGATGCGGGCTACGGTCGCCATCGGGCGTTGACAAAATGAAATATTGAAGTGAGCTTAAAAAAAGCGGACATTAAAAATACATGTCTGTCAGCAGAGTATGCCTGCTGCCTGCATGCGTCATGGTTTGTGCGCAGCATCCGCAGCCGCCCCTAGAGGTCACTAATGGGCTGAATCTGAGAGGTACCGTTCCATGTCTTTTAGGACATTTCTTTTTAATACGAAGTCCACTTTCGATTTCTCGGAGCAGTGTGAAGTTTGTACTCCACAGACACTGCTATGGCTTCCCACTTTCAGGACCAACCTGTAGGCCAGCAGAGCCCCCCCGAAACAGCAATCTCTCCCAGCCTTCATGTGGTTACTCATTAGATGGTCATTCATGCCAAGCCCTGGTTGGTTATGTTGACTTTCTGATACCTTTCATGGGGAATGACTTGTTGTGCAATGAACCTGCTGTCTGATTTTCCCATAGAAAGTCACTAACCACCATCCCAAAACAAAACCACACCCCACCCCACCCAATCAGACCCCACCCTGCCCGGGTTGGTCCCTCATTCTCACAGAAATAAACTTTGTTTTCAAGGCCAGAGAGATCTGACTGGCTGTTAACTCATTGTGTAATTACTTTGCTTTCAGTCCAGTTAAACTACACATACACTACACTACACATACACGTGTGTGTGTTCGGGGAGTAGCCACACAAATGGAGGTGATGCCCAGCACTGACAGCTGATAAAGAGGAGGGACGGTCGGCCTGCACCAAGCCAGACTGGCACAGGAAGCCAGGCCACACTGGCTCATAGCTTGTTCAGTGGTTCTGTATAAAACACACTCCTGCAGATGAGTCATGGCCTGTTACTCGACAGTCAAAGACTCACATACTTCACTTCCCTGTTGCTATATGGTCCTCGCACTGCACGGCCTCGGCTTTCCATGCCCAGATCCTCCTTGCATTCGGAGACTGAGCAAACTCGTCCATTCCCAGATCTTCCTCTCCTCTTTGGCTGGCCGGCTGTCTTGGGCTGACAACGACACCTGATTGGTGGCCTCCTGTCATATCAGTACCAGTCCGAATGGTTCCGTGGTGGAGAGGGCTACCGCATCCGCTGGGCTGCTTTTAGAACAGGAATGGTAACCCGATCCTGCCGGTGTCCTGCTTCTCTTTGAAGCGATTCGCCCCGAGTCTGACCCACCCCAGGCTGCATTCAGCTACTGTAAACAGCTCTGGGGAACCGTCAATGTCACTGAGCTCATCTGACAATGGAACATTAGTTCTGCTGCTTGGCGTCCGCAGAGGCCCGTGAGGCTGTGCGAGGGGCGGGACTCGCCCACAGTCAGTACGCCGGTGCAGGTATTTGAATGTGCCATGTTGCGCGGAGGGAGCCCTTCTCTCTGTTTACCTCCATGACCTCCACAGTGATGTTTGGCGTATCAACTGAATCTGCTCCACCATACAGCACAAGTGCTGGAGGCTACGTGAGACTGTCCATTGGTGTGTGCATTAGTGAAAGCCCCTAGGGGGCAATAAAGGGCCACTTTCTCACCCTCTGCCATCTGCCCCTGGGACAGGTTTCTCTTGTCGTCTGTTTCCATGGTAACTGCCCCCCCCCCCATTCACCTTGCACATGAGTCTTTGGGGTTGCGTCTCAGATTGTATGATTTTCCTCAGAGGTCCCTATAAACCAATCACAAATGAAACTAAACAAAATGTAACACTGTCATTAAACATTAATTCAGAGAAGATAAAAATATGACAGTGTTGAGTCCCCATGTTGAGCGGAGCATGAGGCAGCTCTTGTGCAAGCGCCGGCCTGGTGGCTGTTTGCTGTGGACGCTGCTGATGCTCACAGAAAGCACCCTCATGGGAATGTTACAAGGCTAAACAAACTGCTTTCTGATGTCACCAGAGGCGGGTCGTTTGCCAGGCAACTAGAAAAGTCATCAGAAACCTCCCAGCGAGAGATTGAAGCAGAAGCGGAGGTCTGGAGAGCACCTCCTTCTGGAAAGCACATCCTTCCGGAGAGCACCTCCTTCTCCAAGCCCTTGCCCCATCACAACTAGCCTGCTGGCTTCTGGTGCCCCCTCTTAATTGTGACACCTGGCCTCAGACCAAATCAAGTCAAGTGGCTTTATTGTCATACGATCCATATACAGCGATACAGCATCATGAAATAACCCTCCCCCAGGAGCGCGGTGTGACAGACATGAGTGACAGGGGGAGGGTTTTCACAGGACTTACAGTGCAGAACAGAAAGTGAAACAGGGGGACTAAACACAAGGGGCTACATGCATAACTCAAGGGGTAACATACATACATAAGGGGCTATATACACAAGACAAGTGGCTATATACATAACACAAGGGGCTATATACATAACACAAGGGG